TTCGAACTGCGCATATGTTCAGAGCATCTATGTACCAAGTTTCATCAAAATCCAATGAGTGGTTCTTTAGATATCAGTGGAACAGTCATAGAACAGCTAAAAATTAGCTAATTATCATGCAAATTAGGTAATTAACGAGCATGGATTTTTACCAAAACCTAATCAAATCTGCGCATATGTTCAGAGCATCTATGCACCAAGTTTCATCAAAATCCAATGAGTGGTTCTTTAGATATCAGTGGAACAGTCATAGAACAGCTAAAAATTAGCTAATTATCATGCAAATTAGGTAATTAACGAGCATGGATTTTTACCAAAACCTAATCAAATCTGCGCATTGGCCCAGAGCATCTATGCACCAAGTTTCATCAAAAACCGGTGTATGGTTCTTGAGATAGCAGTGGAACAGTCGGACACACACACACACATACACACACACATACACACATACACACATACACACATACAGACACACTAACTGCAAAGACTCCCATTTTGTGCTTCGCACACGGGAGTCAACAAACTCTAATTCGGCTAACTCGGCACACTTTGTTGTAAGCATTGAGCTGTAAACGATGCAACATGCCTGTTCAAACGTCATATATTTGTACAGCAGTAGAATTCGGTACAAAAATTTAAAAAAAATCAATATTCAGTTCTTGCCACATGGGGGCGCTTACCTTCCCAAGTCCCTTGTTTTTACGCACACCAGAATATTTCGAAGCGTATACATCGGGTGCAGCAGTTCCTGACTAACATTCTGAAATACAAATCAAAATAATCACGAAAAGGATTATGACACATACTACATGTAAATATCTCTGGATCAGTGAATCAATGTAAGTATTGGCTTCCAGTCACAATGGTATTTAACAATAATAGGAGGTTATTACGAGACTACCAGAAAGGCAGTATGATGATCGTAGTGACAAACGCATAGCAGATAGCGATTGGATCATGTACAGCCAGAGTGCATACTTTGAGGTATCCTCATGATAACATTATTATTATACATCTGCTTGTAGTAATAATTTAATGAGAGATAACAACCTAAAATGGCTGTGCTCAGACACTAAATTATATTTCCATCATGTGCTTTAATATGTCTGCATTTAACATAAACAAAGAAAAGTTTTCAATGTGATATAAACAACACACCCAATTTTCAAATAAGGAAGGCACTTTTGAACTCATTTGTACAGCGTTTTACAGAAGGATAAATTCTGTTGTTTTCGATGTGAAAAATATAATAATGTTGTTTATTCACATTACTTCATATTTAAACAGCATGTATACTTCAATAGAAAAAAAAAAAAAAAATATATATATATAAGCAGGTGTCTATTCTGACTAGCTGAGTATCAATAACAGGGTAATGAATCAATACCACATGTATTTTCCCCGAGAACGACAGTAGACAGTCAACTGAATTTTCTGACGTACCTGAGTAAAACACATGTGAAGAATATTGGTGTTGAGGTTAGCTACTGCTCTGGAAAAAGACTGCGGACTCAGTTCTTTACCACAAAATTTCCTAAAAAATTCAGACAAAGGGGGAAATTATATTCAGCAAGTTGTGCAGATAATAAATATTTCTTATTACAGTATAGATCAACTACTATACTGAATTTTTTTTCACTAAATATATTAATTCACCTTTTATGGGAATACCATAAAATGACAAGGTTGCTCATAAGTCAAGATGCAATGATATAAGAAGTCCACATAAAGGCATATGTTTTACAAACTATTATCCCATGTTTTAGGTTGATACAATTTATAAACACATACAAAGAAACTCTTCAAAAACCACACCTCATAGGTATCAGTGATGAATACTGATAGACTTGGCGACTTAAGAATGCGGTAGAGTTATCATGCTCTAAAATGTAAAAACTGTTTTCATGAGGAAAAGTGTTTTGAAGCGTAGCAAATTATATATTTTCTTGAAGCCCTTGTTCCTGGCTTTTTGAAAAAAATGATCTGCGACATGTACCACGAATTAGTCACGTGATTACTAAGTAAACATAGAGGTGTTATTTTAAATAAAAATGAGTTTTGTATAAAAACCGTAGGGGTTTTGTAAAAAAAGAAAGCTGAAAAATCAAGGCAGCATCAGCCCCGTCAATGCCTCGAGAGTGTTAGAACATAGATTGCATATTTGTTTACAATGACATCAATTTACATTTTTCCTGTTATTTCACCCATAGACAAGGAATTTAAAAGCCTTTTATTTTTCATTGCGAGAAGTTATCAAAAAATGCTTCCAGGCTTTTTATTCTGCGCCAATACGTTATCAATGTGTGTGAATTTCATGAAAGTAGGCCAATTTCTGACGACGCACAACTCACTTGAATGACCTCTATGGCGTCAGATTTCTTCTGCCTGAAAACGTCAAAAAACAAAACATTTGTCACGTTGCGCTAATTTTGGACATTTAAAGATTCAGATGGACTGATTTTTACAACAAAAGACATAACATGGAGTCACTTAGTAGCCTTGCAGTATTAAAATCCAAAACTATAAAGTTTTGGGCCCCTATTCGTCCTCCAAAAAGTAGTGAAGTTGTTACAGTACACAGCGACCTTGCATAACGTCGAACAGCTGGAGAGATAAATGACGTCATCTCATTATATATTCAAATCATGTTTACATGCGAAGCCTGGTCTGTATAACAAACGCTTGCGTAGTAACCGGAGAAAGAGGTTGACATGCCTAAACGCCAACCCCTAGTGCTAGTTAACTCAAAAACACCCGACGTTTTGTCTTGTTCTAGCAGACACTTGACTTCCACCGCAACTTCGCAAACGGCGTTCTTATACGGACCTTTGTTGATGGGTGGCCCGGCGGCAATCCCACATAAGACACTAGTTTTTTCAAACCTCGCCGACCTCTCCCAACTCGGTTGATATTAAATTGTCTGCCCCACTTTTTTGTAAAATGGAAATTGATCATGTTTTGCTGACGAAATTTTACCCTCTTGGTTTGAAATACTCAAACTTGAAGTGTGAACCCCATTGTACTTTCGGCAATGTGTTTCAGTTATAGGTAAAGTTTTGCTTCCTCTGAACTGCGTTTTGAGTTTTTCCTTGGGGGCCTCTTTTGTGTGATTGATCATTAATCAGGAGCCGGAGTTAATATGACCACGTCGTCTTCAGTGTGCACTGTTTCCGTCGTGAAGGGATTATGCAAATTACGCAATAAGTCAATGTTATTGTTTGCGTCCAGACTTTTATCTCAAAAACAAAGTGTACAGTATCCCGTTATACAAGTAGTTTTTCTTATTTTTTAAAAAAAAAAGGTATTCTAGATGTGTTTCAGTTTTAATTTTGATAAAATTATGAGCCCAATAACTTTACAAAAGTAATAACAAAATTCACAAAAATAACACTACCGCATCCTTAAATCCTTTTTTTCCCCTGAACAACAAAATACGTTATACATTGTTGTAAAAAGGCCACAATAGAAGAAACAACAAATGCATAACAGACCACTCTTCGTGATAGATATTTTTGTAATTTATTCACTACAAAATAATAAATGGGAATGCTTGGTAATTTTCTAATATTTGTATGAAATTTCTGTACTGGATACCTTACATAAACTACAACTATGTGACATAAATTACATGATATTGACGAGGCCTTCCAATACAATATAACAAAACAATACAGTATTAAAAACATCACATCACATCATGTTTTATATGGGTCCCATGCAATAAGTCTAAATATTTGTTTTTTTTTATGAAATTCAATAGTACCGGTACTTCCCAATATAAAGAGCATGAGATGAAAAGAACACTAGTGATTGGTTGTGGAAAACTCACCCGTAACATATTTTCTTTGGTGAGTGAATCCCTAGATAATACGATAGTACTGAAAGTAACTGTGTTGTATTGGACAGAGCAGCACACATGGAGTTTGCCGGATTCCTCTGACCTAACTCTGTATTAGGACCCGGCGTAAAATGCCTGGTAGTCTCATCTGTGGAGAGACACATAGTAAAACCTCTGAATGACATCATTTTTCCCGTTAATACTTGCAATAATTTGTTTCTGTAGTTTACTATATAATTACTGTTAATTTTGAACCAAATGGGCATTATTTCCCCTTACTGGGTCTTGATCAGAATGTTTGATAAAAATGATATGTAGGAGACTAAAGTTTCAAAGCTTACCGGTATGGGTGAACATGAAGATATACATGAGAGTTCCTTGAAACTCAAAAGCCTTGAAACTAAATTGGGGAAATGAGATTTGTCTATGGCCATAATCCAGGATTTTTGTGTGCTTTATTTTGGAGATGTGCTTTAAAAGAAAAAACAGTTAAATTTTGTTTTCATTCGATAGTAAGTAGTGAATGATGTCCTCAGTATTATTTGACAAGAATTACCTTGTTGTCACATGACATGATTTTAATATAAGGAGTACAGCAGATTGATGGAGGTCTTAGTAACTATGGTAACAGAGTAAATGTATGAATAACATACATACACACGTGTGTGTAGGAATTTGTAACATGTAGCAGCAATTTGTTGCATCAGAAGATTAAATGATCAGAAAACGATGTCATATTGATAAGATGAAGGACTTACACCATGCTGTGTAAGCGGAATAATCTCCGTCTCCAGGCAACGATGCCTCTGGGGTGATAATAGTGAAGTTTGTTTTACTGTGGTTGCCGGTATATACCCATTTACCATGAATGTAAGACATCTGTTGAGCTTCTGCTAGCTCACTGACGGTGCTTGTCGAGAGACCACCTTCCTTTTCACCATCATTCTCAGCTTCTTCCGATTGTCTGTAATATTGTTGAAGAAAACAAACCAGTTTCGGTGAAGTGATGCACTTAAAAACTGGCCGATATTTTAGACAAACATCCAGGATGTTTGGGGCATTCCTAATACTGGTTCTTGATGTTGAATCATTTTTAACTAACTATTTTTGCCAGTATTTGGTACTAGAGATACATTTACACACCAATAACAGGCCTTAAATCTAACCTGTTCTCGTAATTTCAAATACTGAACCACTTTTTGGTTTGTCATTTGAATTATGCTTAGAATAATTTTAACCTGTTGTTTTCTGGATCTGCTTCTCTGATCTCCATGATGGGGAATATCGATGTCATAAGCTCCTCTATGCGTGACCTTCTCATCCTTGCGAGGTCCTCTTCTTTCTGTTCTTTAGCAGCCAAACTATTGCGAAAGTGTATTCTACTTTGTTCTGTAAATTACCAATTAGTTTACATTATTAAAGACATGACATTGAAACTTTACAAACTCAAAACATATAATTTTGTTTCAATGAGTGACATGGACAAAGTGAACTCAAAGTATCCATTGGGTGTTATGACTACAGAAGCCAAAAACTTCACCAAGTTCTAATCTATGGTTTGTTTCCATTCAAAGTCAAATTCACCAGTGAAGTTAGACCAATTTCAAAACAAATATAATGATTGAGATTCTTACCTAAGTGTTTTTGATATTTGTATATTTTGCCTTTCAGAATTCTAATTTGGGCAATGTGATTGTTCTTCTTCTCAGTGATAGCATGGAGATCATTCCGTTCTGTTCCATTGAAAAGCGAATTTTATGATTAGTGTAATAAAACCAAATCATTTGTGAATGAACTGTGAAACTTCAGGGGAAACATTAAAACTGCTGCCAGAAGCCAAAGTTACCTTTGCAAAATAAACATGCATAAATTATTTTTTTCATATCCAGGGTCTAGTCAGCATAGCTTCTTTTTTCAATCCAATCTTGCAAATCCCTCCTCATGAATCTCAACATCCAAATAAAACTACTTATTATACATTTGTCACCGTAACGCCATAAGTTACAGCGTGCCGTAATTTTGCGCTATTTTACAGGGTATTTTCATCCTACTATATAAGGAAATGCGAATTCCAAATATGGAATGATTGTGTGCGTAAACGTCCTCTAAAAATTAGAACAAACATGGCTGCCACCAGGGTTTGACTGGACTCCAGACAAAAAAGTGTGCTGACACTGTTCTAAACTTTTTGAATTTCGGCATTCCTATGATGTATCTTTGGAAGGAAAAGATGTATAATCAGACAGTACGCCGTCACATCGACCTCCACTGTGCGTCGGTCGATACTCTTGTTATACTGTCTTCGTGCATACTTTGAGGTATCCTCATAATAACATCATATTCTTCCGTGCATAAAACCATCATAATATATTGTTGATATGCAAGAATTAAACATACCTTTATCCGCATATCCTCTTAACTCTTCACTCGCTTTCAGCAACACTTCTTTTTTCTGTTCTAAGAATAATGCATCCCATCTCTGCATGAAACAAAATATTGATATACAAAGATATATTACTAAGATGTGTGTAACTTCTTTGATTTTATTTTAATTTGAATTTTAGACTTGTTTTTCACCTTTTGGTCATATTGCACACGTCCAATTAAAGCTTCGGAAACCCTGCAATAAAAGAAACAAGTAATGTTAATCACTGAGCTGAATAACATTTTCTTATAAATTGTAAAAGCATCATCTGTTTAAGCTCCATGATTTTTATCGCCAAAATGTTGGGTGCAACATTTTGAACATTTCTTCCATGTATTTTTCTATAATTTGTTTGTTAATTCTGGACAAAACATAATATTCCAGTAGCTACAGATCTTAACCCAAATTTCGAAAAAAATATGAGCAAAATTGTGGGTTTTTGTTTTGCTAAAGAAGATTATAATTTATTTTTGTGCTTTTAGTATTTAATTAAACTATTTTCATATATTGAGCATTTTCGCTGGGTTTTATAAATTCACAATTTTTCAGGTGAAACAATGAGATCTATTGTAATTCTGTACGTTCACACGAAATTAATGTCAGCTGATTTTAACCTAGACCCTAAAAAAGATGACTACTACATTTCAGTGAAAACAGCAAAATTAGCAAAATTAGCTAGTTTTATTATTAGAGAATAGTGAATGATTTTCAATTGCATATTTTATCAACAACAAAGGTTTACTTTCAGTTTTGGACCACGTTTAACTGCCTCAATGCCATAGTACAGCCATATTTTTCACATATTTCAACTACAGAATTTCTTTGCTTAATGAATTTCCTATTGGCTGTAGATCTTAATCAAAATTTCTGAAAAAAAAAATATGGAAACAATGATGAAATTTGAGAAAGGTACAGTACACAAAAATGTGTTGTACCATTTTATCCAAAGTGAAATGTCTGTTTGTGATTGCTAGTAGCAAAAAACCCAATTGGTGACACACATAAATTAAGCAATAAAGTTGCAACAAGTGTAATCCTAATACATATCATGACAGTTAATTAATAACTAACTTATTTTTACAACACATTTTTAAAATGCATTTTAAATTGTTCTTTCAGCTGGTAAATAAATAAAATAAAATAACTATATCATACAAAATCGTGGGAAAATACTTTGAATACGAACTTCATTGTTTACCTGTTTGTCCTCAGTTCAGAGGTTGACCTCCGACCTTATTTACTAAATTGTAAAATTACATATGACTCATTTATGTGCTGTCTGTTACCGAATGTCGACACGTGTAAACAGGCCTAATGTCATTACACGTAACGTATTTCCAAAATTTAAGAAATACTCAGTCTCCTCGGGTTTATATGCCATCACAAAACAGTTGAGTTACACTATCAGCTGTTCCCCGCTGTCACTCAACCTTGTAAAGCTCGTTCGAGACGGTGAAAAATATAACAATAACGACAATACTCACTGATCCGACAGTTTCAGTCTTTCTTTCTTCAGTCTGTTTAGTTTCTGTAATTTCTCAGCATACCTATGACATGGTGTAAAATAATCATTTATTTGTTACGGAGGTATGAACGGAAATGAGCATAATTTATCGACTCTGTCACTCAAAAGCAGTGAATTTCGTTCACAGAACTAAGATGCCTACCTTTCGGGATTGCGACCGCTGGAATGAGTCAAATTACCCTGTTCGATGCAGTCTTTGCACGAATATGTTCTTTTTGAGTTGCTGCAAAGTGGGCATCTTTCCACGGCAATGCCGATCACTGATGAGGCGTCTATTTGAGTTTTGGACTGGCGAGTTGTTGATTCATCCTCCGACAAGCAAGTCGCCATATTTCATAATGACGTCAGGATTTGTTATGGAATGTGGCATTGTGGGAAAACCATCAAAAAGGTCACCCCAGGACAAGCGGAAACAAACGCAAATGTACAGAAAGAAATATTGTGACCCCAATGGACTTGTTTCATTTAGCCGCACTTCCGTCTGAACTTCGAATTTCAGATTGTAACCAGCATTCCCAAAATTCGTCTAATAATGATACAAATGCAGTGGACAAGTGAAACTAATTGTCACAGTAAGAATTTTATAAAAACACCATTTCATCATAAAAAAAGTATTCGTCAGTTTGGAAGTTTGCGCTATAGAGGGAATTTAGCTCATGATGATTTGACATCATGATATACTTTTGTTAATTTCATTTACACCTAGTTGTGATCAGAATGTCGAATGTGTGGGGGGGGGATTATGTGAATCTACAGGGAATATAATCTCCAATATAAAGTTTTCATCATCGTCACATGCCAACTACTTGTAACCCTGGTAACCAACATCCAGATTTTTTTGCTTCATCCATTGAAAGACAAAATATGCACACTGCTTGCTGGAATTGTTTAGTTGGGGCGAAAAATATCAAAGTATTCAGGTATTTTGGGAACACAGTTTATTCAACTGCTCAGATAAATATTTGTCAGGAAGTATGACTTTAATAGCTCCAAGGGCTGTTGTGACTGGTGATATCTGAGTTTTACCAATACTGTCGCCCGGTACTGTCGGCACCGATAGCACCTTCCAAAATGTTCAGCCTACGTTCAGATTTGTGATAATGTGGATCTTGAGATTGTGAAATCGGTTCTTGTCTATCTATCTGTTTGTGCGTTACATATTACGTGAACCAATTTTGTCAAAATTTTACCCGGGTCGCGAGAGTACGGCCTACATGTGTACACATACACATAAGTTTGTTTTGTAATACATTGTACGACCAAACGTATCGTACCCACGGCCAACCATGGATCGAAATTACCCAGTTTTGGAAACTGGTTCTTTTCGATTTGCTCGTGGACGTACGACAATTATAAATCTGATCTCAAAATACTTCACATATAAAGGTATTTGTTTGAATGTCCGTTTTGATTGAATGCATGGATTAATTTACACTCAGACTTTCTCATTTTTAACGACGATGGGCATAAATAGTATGAAATATTTGGAAATTACTAGTAAAATACTGGAGGTACAATTATCAAACCTATCTCAAAATAATGCCACATATATTTGATATTCAGAAATAAATTTAGTTTTATGATACTTTACTGTTTTAGGCGGCAAACAACAGTTATCTTCACTTTAACACTTTCTTCTTTTCAACCGTGACGAGGGCGTGAATACTATAAAATATTCGTCAATTACTGTTGAAGGTATAATTCTAAAACCTATCATAAAATACTCCCACATGTATTTGTTCATACATGTCTGTTTTTCACTTTCAGACTTTCTTCTTTTCACCGACGAGGGCGTAAATACTATAAAATATTTGACAATTAAACCGAAGACTCTCTTTTTCTAGTGTCTTTGATTAAACTGATGGAGGTACAATATTGACACCTATTTCAAGTGACTCCCACATATATGGAATCTTCATTCTCAAACTTTTCCCATTTCAATAACAAGAGTGTAAACAGATAATTAAAACATTTGGAAAATAAACCAGCAACACACAATTGTAAAACCTATCTTAAAATATATATATTTGGAATTTAGAAACAATTTTACTTGTCGACAAGTGTCTGTTTTTGTCAGAAAATATACATTATACTCCTTGAATCCAGAGCCCTTCCAGTTTAGCTGGATAATGTAGTAATTGTAAAATCTAAGGTACATGGTGTAATATATTAGTGAGCAAATTTAAGTTTTCTCATTAAAGTTCCACATTATTTATTTATGAACGGTTACTAGATTTGGTCCAAAAATATAAAGGAAAATACTTGCATAGTGTCTGGCATTGGAAGTAAGCAATCGAGAAGTGTCACAGCTGGTGATTTTCTGTTGTAATAAGAGACAAGCCATGGTTCTATTAGCCATAATTCTCATTGTAAACTTTAAAGCAGCCTAAATATTTAGTGTTGTTGAGAGTTTTGTGGTTATATAAATTAAGTGTCATAGCTAGACCAGCAGTACTAGCATAGCCAGAATTTTATCCGGTTTCTCATGATACAAATCAGTAATTGTATACCAGTACTTTGTAGTGGCTCAGGCAGTGGTTTACAATAGGTGATTTTCCGTACAATTGCGAGATCTCGCGAGATGCATGAAAGACGCGCGTCGAACGTCTGCCGCAAAAATCGAACGATTTGATTTTGAACTAGAATTTCTTTATTTCGCAGCTTACATTGACCGGCCGATCTTCGACAGGAATATTGCTTCCGAATACCCTCACTTAATCGAAATTGCCTATCATCAAATGTGGACAGCACATTATTAAGCATGGAAATGTCCCCGAAATACTTTTGCGTTTGTCGAATCCCACGCGATGTTTGACGCCACTACGACCTTTGTTTGTCCTGTTTTTACGTTCGATTTCACGCATAACGCGTGATTCTCGCAGTGAACGGAAAATGGTCTATTATAAACCTCACAGTTCTGAGTATAATCTTGTTAACATCAGAAGGCTGAACAAAAATCTACAAGTATCTGTAACAGAGAGGTTTATATAATGTAAACCCCATCTCCATATAATAAATACTTCTACAAAATAGACTAGTTATTAGTGAAACAAAAGATTATCACATAACATACAAAAAAAAACAGTCAATGTATCAGTTTAATAATGAAAAAATCGTATACAATTCAATCTGACAAAAATAACATACAAAGTATAAAGTGTTGTCAATTTGTGTGTAGAGTTTAGAACAGCCATCAATTCTAGATAATGGCCAATGTGGCAACCACAAACAAAGGAAGTGCAGGGGTAACATAAAACATAAACTGCAGAACTGAGAAAATATAGTAGTCAATACAAGGGTGTAAACGGTTTTATATAAAACTTTTAAATTAATTTTTTGTTCTTTTCAAATTTTAAACATGATATTCATTATAAACTATTGATTTCAAGGAAAACAATTACAAAATGAAAATAAAAGTGGTCAACAAGATACTTAAATTAGATTGGGCCCTCAGTTACAAGGATGTTTTCTGAAAAGAAAACCTGTCCTTCAAAGCAATGGGGGAATAAGCCGCCTACTACTTGTTGCCACCTATTTTACCCACAATGCATTAAACATTTTTGCATGATTATTACAAAATCACCACTAGCATTTTAAGTTAAAGTGTTGCTTAAATTGCAAGGATAACCTTGAAACACAGGAAAAAAAAATGATCATATATCATATTCAGTTCTATGGGAATTTGACAATCGCTTTTCTTATTTCTTAAAGACTATCAACTCTACAAACACTATAAATCTATACACCATACACAAATGTGCAAAAAACACAAGAGTGCAATGCAAGAACTTGAGCCATGCCATGCCATGCCATGCCATGCAATACTAAGCAAAAATGACCTTTGTAGTATTATGAGGTTATTACAAGGATACTGCCAAGTATGCACATAGACAGTACAGCAGAAGTATTTAAGTATTTAAGTATTTTAGTATTTTTTGGGGGGTCCAGTAAAAATTCGTGTTAGGGGCTTCCATCTGTTTTTATCATTAGAGAACGCTTGCGTGTGTAGTCGTTCCATATTTGGAATTGGCATTTCCTAATATGGTAGGATGCAAATACCCAGAGCAATACCGCAAAATTATGGCATGCTGCAACTTATAGCATTGGTGACAGATGTACAATAATAATGGTTATGATATACACACAAACAAATGTAGACAACTAAAAAATGTTCAAACAAAACATGCTGCTAGTATAGTTAATTCCACCTGGTAGCCGCAAAGTTTAAAGTGTAACAGCATCACTTGTGGTCAGCATATTGTAAATGCCACTACAAGGTGCGATTGATGACCTGTACCTAAGCAATCTGACAAAAACTAGGAATGGAAAAATGCACACACTGCTTCGTCCAATTGCTGTCAGTGAAAGAGTACATATGCAAACTGTTGTTATTACTAATATGTATATGAAAACAACTGCAGCAATTTCCAATCTGCATATTACAGAAATTGTAGCCAATTATTAGTATATAGAGATAAAAGACCAAATGTGCAATCACCGAAACAAACAAACGTTCAAAACAATGGTCAGTGAATGTGCCAGTTTGGCAGGTCACACCTCTGTTTGGAAGGGGGAGGGAGGATGCGTTTCCTCCCAAAATTATTTTTAAAAAAATAGAAAATATTTTTTTTTAGAATATCTTAAGACCAGAAACAATTTTTGTTACTATAAGCCTAAGATAGATCTACATGGATTAAAAAATATGACAAATCTAGTAATTTTATTTAGTGAAATAACACATGTATTAAAATAAATAGAAACAAATATGTGCATGAAAGAAGGATATTGTTTTGTATAGAGTATAAATTTATAATGCATTCAACAGAACTTCATCAAAAAGAAACTTTTGAGAAAATAACTTTTTGCATTAAATCAGGTAAAATGCAAACAGTGGATCCATATTATGCAAAGAGGAAGGAGATCCTAGAGTGTTCAACGTCATCACAAACACGGAAAACTATTCTGACCAGCTTGGGTTTTCTCTTTTACACATTTAACATCTCACAGTATGATTTCCCTACAAAGGTCATTTTTGTATTGTCTGTTAAGTAAATGGACTAAGCTCAGATATTAATGTCAGGAAAAGGCCGAAAAAAGGCCTAAAACTATCAATATTGCATATTAGTTAACAGACTGTATAAATCTGCTTCATCAATTTTTGTTATGGAGTTTGGAATTTATGTATTAATGACATTCAACACCTTCTGAACTCTCTATCCAACAAATCATATTGGGAATATACTATACATAGTTAACAAGGTAAATTCTAAATAAATATATATACTTTTAAATTTTTTTTATACTTTATGGGCGTTGTATATTTCTGCAGACAAATAAAAAACGACGGGGTTGTGTATTGCAACCACAATTCTTGTTGGCGTTTTGTTAAATGCAAAAATCAATGCTTTATTTGGTGTATGTACAATGATTAGATCTTCTGATATTGCATCCATCATCGAAGGTATCACGACTGCCGATGCTAGTGCCATCCCACAATTTTACATAAGCCAACCAATCCATTCTCTGGATTGATGTGCAGAGAATAGAATCTCCCAGGCAGAGAATAGAGCCATTATTATTTTTCAGTTTCACAAGCTTTTTCCAATTCTGTTGCATTTAGTTGCAATTTACATTTAATAAAAGCAAGTCTTTACTATGACATTTTCTTAAAAGCTTTTAAGATTGGGTAGATATTTTCAAAAGCTTCATATATCTCTTTCCTGACCTTCGCACCTAGAAATGAAAAAAAAAAACAGAAAATACAGTCACGCTAAGATACAAATTATGATATTAGAAAACATGTTTTTTTTTACTAAAACACATGGAGAAGAAAATGTACAAGAGTATGTTGAAAGTGTTTTGAAGAACATAAATGACAGTTAGAATAAACTGATGTGCAAAATGTACATGTATAACATTCTTTCTTGTCATTGACCCAATAGATCAGGGATGACATTGAAGTGATGTCAAGGGCATGTACAGACAGAACCCCACAATTTGAAGTTGTCAAAAAGTGTTATAGAAGAGTAGAAAATATAACAAATATAAAAATTGAGAAAAAAAAACGGGGTGTTGAAGGTATAAGTGTAAAGAATCACATCGGCATGACTGGTTTGTAATTCAAATAAAACAATATCTTACCTGTGAGGACGACTTTTCCAGATACAAAAATCAATAAAACTATTCTAGGCTTGACCATTCTGTATATAAGACCTGGAAACAATTCTGGTTCATAACTGCGAATAAGAAGAAAAAGTAAATATGGATGACAATGAGTACAACTATTATCTTTATGTATAGAACAATATAAAGCGTACTGGAATATGGTAAATTATCTTAACAACGCCTGCTGAAAGCACCCATGGATCGCAGAGATGATGATGAGACATCAGCAGACATTGCGATAAACTCGTATATAAGCCATAACCAAATACTGTAAATGTTTAGAATATGCAACTGACAATTCTGTATTTTTATCACCAAATGTTTGAATTTACATCAAGTAATTTACAGTTAACACCAAAACTGACCAGGAAAACCACCACCTCCATATCGATAAAACATTTCAATATTTCTTGGCACATTGTCAGCGGTGTTTGTCATGACTTTTACTTCAACTACTGAAACTTCCATTACCGATGTATTTGACAAGAGTGAAAATGATTGTGTCCAGATTGTGTTGGCATTGGAATGAAAATCTTTGCTGATTAAGTTCCTAAGAAAATTGCAATAGGAATACGAGTTTTCCCAATCAGTTTATTTCAGCACCCATCGTAAGTACGTTGATTTTTTTCTAGTTGTATGATAACTTTATCAGGATATTATTTGATCATATGATGTATACCGTAACAGTAACGAGGATATCGTGAAATGAGAACACAGTATGCACAAAGCCGACAGTGATTTTATCAATCAACTTGTATATTATACATCTTTTTCTCTGAAATGCTAACTGAAACATGTCTTGTGCTTTGCAAATGTTTTGCATTCATTGTTGAGATTACGTATCCATCATAAGCTTATAGTGCATCTACTTCAGATGTAAACAAAGGCAATGTGATGTCAATAACCTGAAACGCATTCAATGTTGGTGATGTAGTTCACTAAAAGGTTAAGGAAAGAAGTTATGGAAGAATGCAGATACAGCTGTATACGGAATGGTAAATTCTATCGTTTTCAGTGAATAATAATCCAGATTATCTAACAGTAACAGTGAAATTACTTATTGTTCAACAGACGATTCAATGCAGCAAATTTCTTTTATTCCATTCTGATTTACACTTTCAATTGCGAATAATGGTACATAATTGTGTATAACAATTGATTAACTGTTTGACATACATTTTTCTAGTCAACATTTTGGTACAACATTTGCATGCATTTTATTAATACTTTCTTCAGGATTCAGGAACAAACGAACAGGAATTTGGGGAAAAAATCTAGACATAACGAGTTTTGATATTCAAAGGGTTTATTTTATTGTACAATGTATGTCGATGCTCAAAGCTTATGCAATTCTGTTGTGTAGCAAAATATGCAATTCCCTTTCATTTTATTTATTCTGTTGTTTTTGATGTTTTTTCCTCATTATTTTGAAAAATAATCCTATGTAGCTATGTAACTTGGCCTGATATGGAGAGAGCTCAAATCCCCTTCCACCCACCAGAGATAAGCTACAATAATCCTTTGATGCAAAATGATGCAATCCTTACCTCGAGAACTGTCCGTGTGTAAGAACTAAGCCTTCTAATCGTCTTACCTTGAAAACTGTCCGTGTGTAAGAACTAAGCCTTATAATCGTCTTACCTTGAGAATTGTCCGTGTGTAAGAACTAAGCCTTCTAATCGTCTTACCTTGAAAACTGTCCGTGTGTAAGAACTAAGCCTTCTAATCGTCTTACCTTGAGAACTGTCCGTGTGTAAGAACTAAGCCTTCTAATCGTCTTACCTTGAAAACTGTCTGTGTGTAAGAACTAAGCCTTCTAATCGTCTTACCTTGAAAACTGTCCGTGTGTAAGAACTAAGCCTTATAATCGTCTTACCTTGAGAATTGTCCGTGTTTAAGAACTAAGCCTTCTAATCGTCTTACCTTGAGAACTGTCCGTGTGTAAGAACTAAGCCTTCTAATCGTCTTACCTTGAGAACTGTCCGTGTGTAAGAACTAAGCCTTCTAATCGTCTTACCTTGAGAACTGTCCGTGTGTAAGAACTAAGCTTTCTAATCGTCTTACCTTGAGAACTGTCCGTGTGTAAGAACTAAGCCTTCTAATCGTATAGGGAATTTGACATCACAACTTCCTACCATGTTCTGAATTTTAAAATCTAAAAACTTGGCCTGAAAAATAGTAGAAAAAAATATACCAGGTAATGTCTGTGATAGAGCCAAAACAGACCGTACACATAAATGCTGCTGTGATCTCGTTTGAGAGTGAGAAAGCTTAGAAAATTGTTTTTGACCTCAAATAGTGTTCAATTCTCTCATGCCATCACATTCACCGTTACTATGGTTACATAGGTCAGGGAACAGTAGATGCGATGAAAGGAGGAGAATAGAACACTATTTAAACTTAAGATCAAGTATTCACCATTTTTGTTGAGATCGGTCATGTGATAGGAACCATAGCAACATTATATTTCACAAAGCACACTGGTGCCTAAATCACAAGTGCGAGACAGAAAGTAAAAGACTTAATCTTCAAAGCTGATAAAGTATTTTACATTTTGCCCAGGGTCCACGGTACCTTGTCATCCTATACCGTACCGGTAATCCCCGAGGTGTGGTTGACACAATGTATGACAGACATGATACAATCTAAAGCCAGTTTATTTTTATGTTTTTGTGTTAAATATAATTGACCAGTAATCCATTTTTAATCTGAGCTGGGAAAAAAATAACATGCATGAAGGTCCCATCAGGTTCAATGTAAATAACAATTTTGAATGAAATATGTCCATGACTGAGATCCGGTTTCAGAATGACAGTTATGCTTGATTTTGATAAATCGTAAGCACTAAAATGGCCACAAACTCATGCGTTTATGTATATCATAATGTGTTAAGCATCTGTATTGAAAGTTTGAATGTGATTGGTCACATTTTGTTAAATTTGTTAAATCACAGGGCCACCAGTCAGGCATTTTGAATCCAAACTGGAAGACAAATGCTGTGTATCTATGACCCAATATGTTCAATGAACATCCAAAGTTTAAATGAAATATGTCTGTGCATAACTGAGATCCGATTCCAGAACTGCCATCTTAAATAGGATCATGAAATAAATGAATGTGCATATATACGATATTATGTGTGATGTATGTGTGAAGTTTGAATGTGATCAGTCAAACCTCGTCAGAGATATGGCCCTGGAATGGAATTTAAAAAACAAGCAGCCTATCGGCTGAGATAGCTCCGCTGTTAGCAATGCACATTTCAATTAAAGAACTGAAGACATCATTAGAAAATGAACAATATGTATAGTATCAAAGCAATCAGACTTACAGTTTTTAACAAGAAGTCGAAAATATCACTTTCTACCAAAAATAACAAAAATATTCACCAAAGTTAGAGAATTGAAGATATCATCACGAAATTAACAAATCTGAGAAAGGTCTACATGTAGTATCTATATATGTAATATCAAAGCAATTGAAGTTTTGGTTTTTAACAAGAAGATGAAAATATCACTTTTTACCAAAAATTACAAAAATATTCACCAAAATTAGAGAATTGAAGATATTATTACAAAATGAACAAATCTGAGAGAGGTCCACATGTAGTACCTATATATGTAATATCAAAGCAATCGGACTTACAGTTTTTAACAAGAAGTCGAAAATATCACTTTTTACCAAAAATGACAAAAATATTCACCAAAATTAGAGAATTGAAGATATTATCACAAAATGAACAAATCTGAGAAAGGTCTACATGTAGTACCTATATATGTAATATCAAAGCAATTGAACTATTGGTTTTTAACAAGAAGTCGAAATATCACTTTTTACCAAAAATAACAAAATATTCCCCAAAATTAGAGAATTGAAGATATCATCACAAAATGAACAAAACTGAGAAAGGTCTACATGTAGTATCTATATATGTAATATCAAAGCAATTGAACTATTGGTTTTTAACAAGAAGTCGTAAATATTACTTTTTACCAAAAATTACAAAAATATTCACTAAAATTAGAGGATTGAAGATATTATCACAAAATGAACAAATCTGAGAGAGGTCCACATGTAGTACCTATATATGTAATATCAAAGCAATTGCACTTGCGGTTTTTAACAAGAAGTCGAAAATATCACTTTTTACCAAAAATGACAAAAATATTCACCAAAATTAGAGAATTGAAGATATCAACATGAAATGAACAAACCTAAGAGAGGTCTACCCAAGGTACATATACACCAAGTATCAAAGCATTCAGGCTTGTAGTTTTCAAGAAGAAGTCGAAAAAGTAAAACATTGACACAGACGACGCCGGACAATCACTCATATGATAAGCTCTGCTCGACAAAGTCGACAGTGGAGCTAAAAAAATATGTGCATCAAACACCCATTATAACATTTCAAGTTTGAATGAAAAATGACCGCGCAAAATTGAGATCAAATTCTGGAATTGCAGGAATGCTCGATTTTGATATCTTAGCACTAAATGGCCGCCATGCTGCCATCTTGAAAAAAATCATGAAAACAAGCAGCCTATCGGCTAAGATAGCTCCGCTGTTAGCAATGCACATTTTAAATAAAGGACAGAAGATATTATTAGAAAATGAACAATATGTATAGTATCAAAATAATCATCAAAATTAGATAATTGAAGATATCACCACGAAATTAACAAATCTGAAAGAGGTCCACATGTAGTACCTATATATGTAATATATTAAAAAGCAATTGGACTTGCGGTTTTCAACAAGTCAAAAATATCACTTTTTACCAAAAATTACAAAAATATTCACTCCACATGTAGTACCTATATATGTAATATCAAAGCAATCGGAATTGTGGTTTTTACCAAGAAGTCGAAAATACCACTTTTTACCAAAAATGACAAAAATATTCACCAAAATTAGAGAATTGAAGATATGATCATGAAATGAACAAATCTGAGAGAGGTCCACATATAGTAACTATATATATATTATTAAAGCAATCAGACTTGTGGTTTTTACCAAGAAGTCAAAAATACCACTTTTTACCAAAAATTACAAAAATATTCATCAAAATTAGAGAATTGAAGATATCATCTCGATATGAACAAATCTATGAGAGGTCCACATGTAGTAATTATATATGTAATATCAAAGCAATCAGACTTGTGGTTTTTACCAAGAAGTCGAAAATACCACTTTTTTTACCAAAAATATTCATCAAAATTAGAGAATTGAAGATATCATCTTGAAATGAACAAATCTATGAGAGGTTCACATGTAGTACCTATACATGTAATATCAAAGCAATCAGACTTGTGGTTTTTACCAAGAAGTCGAAAATACCACTTTTTACCAAAAATGACAAAAATATTCACCAAAAATAGAGAATTTGAGATTTTGACATGAAATGAACAAATCAAAGAAAGAACCAACTTGTATATCAAATTTGAAAACATTCTGACTTGCGGTTTCGAAGAAGAAGTTGAAATTGTAAAGGTGACGACGACGACGGACGATGGACAATCAGTAATATGAACAGCTCCGCTGTGTCGACTTTGTGGAGCTAAAAAAATATGTGCATATGTATGATATTATGTTTGATGTATATGTGTGTATAGTTTAATAAATGTGATCAGTCAAACCATGTCAAAGAATGGAATTTGGAAAACAAAATAGTTGTCAGTCAGACATTTTGAATCTGATCTGGAAAAAAAGTGATTTTTTTTCTCAAGGATCAATTATTATTACATTATAAAAATTATAAAAGTAATAAAAATAAAGTAATGTAAACTAAAACTTATGTTACTTAATTATTAAAGGGCGATAGTCCTCGTGCAGTGCGTGTTCAAATTCCATGTAAATAAACAATATATTTTACACGCTTTGTATACATCGTTATGAGTCCAATATCGAACAGGACGCGGCATGACGGCCACAGCCCTTTAATAACTGAACAACTTACTGGAAAACCTAATTTCTGAATGACTCGTGCATATTTCCTAGCTGCCAGTCTGGAAAAGTCCTCACTTTTAGCACCTGTACAGACCATTTTCCCAGAGCTAAAAATCAAGGCAGTTGTCCGAGGCTCTCGTATTCTCATGATTACAGCAGCAAATCTCTAAAGAGTGAATGAAAGGTAATATTGAAATAATGAGCAAATTGCAACGGTTACATTGTTGTGAATGATCGTACTACAACATTGGCAAATCTTTTCCATTTTGCGTTCATTAACATTAACATATTTAAATGACCTATGGTAATTTGAACACATTGGCATCATCCATCCTTTTGATTGGTTAATTAGCGATTTGATCTATTAGGTCAACACAAGAAGAGAAAAAACATGGCGGATATCGTATCGCATCGTGCGTTACATGCGATCAGAATTATTCACTTATGATGAAACTAAGTTGAATTCAACGAATTTATTTTTTGAACATTATTATAATCACTACTGAGTAATAATCAACAACTGTGAACCGCAGCATGACCAGATTGCGCTACCGTTATCATTTGATACTAAGCAATGCAGTTGTGTTTGTTTTTATTTAAAACTTCTTTTAGAATATAATTTGTTTTATTTGACAATCCGCGAAATTTAAACACTGCGAAGTGCTTGGACAATTCAAAACCGCAAAATTAAACACATGCAAAATTAAATGTTTCTACAGTATATTGCTGGAACTTTTTTATTACTTTTTGACCAAATTGATATAATTTCCCATTGGTTACATGTATTACTGGTAATCAACATTTTGAAAAAATATTGCAAAGACTATACATGTTAACTTCAAGAAAATTTCAGCATTCAAAGCATTAAGATGTTAGAAAATGAACAAATCTGAAAGAGGTCTACATAAGGTACATACATGTATAGTATCAAAGCAGTCAGACTTGTTGTTTTCAACAAGAAGTCGAAAAAAATAACAAAAACATTCATCAAAATTAAAAAATTAAAGATATCATGAAATGAACGAATCTGAGAGCAGTCTACCTAAGGTACCTACATGTATAACACCAAAGTAATCAGACTTGCTTTTAAGTCGAAAATATCACTTTTTACCAAAAATATTCATCAAAATTGGAGAATTAAAGATATCATAATATACACCAAGTATCAAAGCAATAAGGTTTGTAGTTTTCAAGAAGAAGTTGAAAAAGTAAGAAGTTGACACAGACGCCAGCGGACAATCACTCATATGATAAGCTCCGTTCGACAACGTCGACAGCGGAGCTAATAATGATAACAATATTTCATTTCTTTTCCCATCATAATGTAATCCCTGAATAGTATATTTAAATGAAAAAAAATATTATTAAAATGGCTTTCATAAATGTCAACTTGAAACAAGTCTAAAATGTAACTACTTCAATACCTTTGGGTTATACTCTGCATTTCTGGCATGTAACGCAATTTTCTTTAAATCAAGCTTACATCCAAGATTTACTGTAGACACAATATTCCTGTAATAAAAAAAAAGCATTTATGGCTGAGTTTAAAATAAGTTTTTAGGAACACCTCAGGGATTATAATCACTTTGATAGCTTATTAATCAAGATTAAATATATGCTTTATGTAGTAAATTAAACAGAATTGCACCAGTGACTATCGCAGATCAGACTGTGATAACCATTGGATGAGCACAGGTGTCATGAATGGTTTCTAGTACTGAGATGTTCCGTTTTCCGTTATTGGGGAAGGGGGCTCAACAGACATATTCATTGAAATCAATCTAAGCACCTTTTAGATATAGCTGAATCAAATATTTTTAACCAAATAGCTATTATTAAAAAAAAAAACGTGATTGCAGTTTGCAAAACAGCAGTTTAACTAAAATAAATGAATCAACTCACTGTAGTTGTGGTACAATTCCGGATCCATCACTAAGAGGCGTTGCTGGTGTCATAGGAGTCATTGGGAGAGCCGGTGTAGCTGGATACATACTAGATGCACCGGGTAATGACTGCGTAACCGACATTTGACTACTATACGATGTACCAGGCTGTCCTGGCTGATGACTAACATAGTTTACAGGCTGTGGGGTTTGGCCACTGTTGTAAGTTGTGACAGTCTGTTGTAATGACGGAGTATTGCTATATGATGTGCTTGGCTGTGATTGCTGATTGCTACTATACGATACTGGCTGAGCCTGCTGTTGTATATCAGTGGGAGGATTCTAAAAAGATAAAAAGAAAATTTAATTTTTGCATATCATCACACAAGATGATATATTTTGATTGGTACTGTTAATTATTTTGTTTGATGCATATCAATTAATAATACGTGTCATAATGCAACAGCTACAGTATTTTGCAAGATATTTGTTCACACAAAAAGTTTCTTGCCAATAGCCGAACATCATCAAATTGTTCCATTAATTCAGTATCTCATGGTGTTATGAAGTCACCCAATCACATGCAGGAATCTTTGTTTACATGTAACGATCAACAAATGCAATATATTACAAAATCAATATTAGGTGTAAAGCGTTTTCCATTACGTGCAAGATTAATCTCAGATGCACATATGACTGACTCTTGTATAGTTAATAGGTCTTCGTTTACATGTAACGATCAACAAATGCAATATATTACAAAATCAATATTAGGTGTAAAGCGTTTTCCATTACGTGCAAGATTAATCTCAGATGCACATATGACTGACTCTTGTATAGTTAATAGGTCTCCTGGCTTTTGAATTTATAGGACGACTATTTTACTCTTGTTACCACTACATCCAAGCATACATCACATGCTTCCTTAGTTGTGTTGAGTGCACTGTTCCCTTTAATTTTTTTGAATCTTGAAAATACTGTGAAAATTTGCCCATTTTCCTCTGGAAATGTTTTTTTCTGCATACAAAATGCATGGAAAGTTTCTCAAAACACAAAATTTTACTGAGAAACTACAATTGAATCTGAGAAAATTGAGCGAAATTAAGGCTTTAATAGAGGGAACACTGGTTGAGTGTGCACCGAAAGCAGAATTGTAGTGAAAACATAATGTAGCTAGTAAATGGCACAATACATCAGCATTTGATCGATGTCACTATGCTGTAACTCTCAAATTGGAGTTTGGCTGCCAATTTTTACATTCTTCAACATTGTTGGACCTTGAGGCGCAAGGCTCCATGTCATACCCAGATTGTCAAAATATGAGCCTGGAACAGCAAAACCAAGGCCAAGTTTGACTCTACATACATTATTTATGTGAGAATTAAGCTCTGTCTACAGGTCCATGAATGTGGAGAAGCTTTAACCACACCATCAAGTCCCAATGTAAATATCGCCCCTAAAACAGCCATGTAGGCAGATCTATGAAAGTACATTGCTACTACTGTAAAAAACTTTATTTTTGCTTGGAATTAATTTTTGCTATTTTCGCTGAAGTAATAATTCATTGAAAATAAGATCCAGCGAATATACATTTTTTCTTATACCGGTATTTTACATTCAACTTGTCAAAAATCAGTGCAAATAAATTGTATACAAAACACCCAAAAGTCTTTTCAGTGAAAATTAATTCCAGCTAATATATTTTTTTTTACAGTAATAGAGCAAATACGATATACAGGTTTGATTTTAAACTTTCTATTCAACATATTTATTGCCTCTGATCACTTCTGAAGAGTAAATAGCATTTTTTATTAAAAGACAAATCTTTCAAAATTAGAGTTCCTCTTCCACAATATTTTGATTTATTTAATAAGGTAAGGAGAATATAATGAGCTCAATATTTTTGTTTTTAGATTTTATAATTTACGAATACCTGTGAAATTGTTTGTCTTTGGGCGTGAATCTGAGTTGGCTGGCTTGTGTGTTGTATATAAGTCGGCTGCTGTGTTGGTTGCAGAGTGTGCATGAACTGGGGAATTCCATGGCCAGGCGGCAGACTACCTCCACCGGAATTCATCATAATAGAGGTCTTCTTTAAGAGTTATACAGCAAGTTGCGCGGCTCGAGCGATGTGTGAATTATTCTTGGAAATACAATAGATGTTATCGAATTATTGTCAACGATGTGTAAACGATTGCCAATGAACGCAGAATGAAAAGGTCTAACAGACGATACTGAAGTTGGCCCCGGATTCGGATTCGTATCCAATTACACTTTTGTATTAGAAGAGATTTCGTATTCGAGATAAAAATACACGACATAACAATAATTTATTTATTTTAAATTTATTTTCAGTAAAAAGAACTATCTAAAATATCGATTATAAGTTATATAAGTACTCATTAATTACAATTCATAATTTCAAAATACTTGATGACTTATTCTCACAAATTAGACCGAAATAAATAAATTATGCCAACTTCTAAAATAATGATGAGTTAATGAACAAGGCTTCTATTGACAGGGGTTGTCGTTGTTGATGTGAATAATGTTGTTGAACGATGTTTTGTGTTCATAGTTGAGAGACTGTGTCGTAGTCAAATCATTACATGCACAAGAAAAAAGAAAAGAAAGAAAAAATATGAATAAAATAATAATACATCACATGTAAAACTTGTATACTTTAAAATATACCTTTTCATGCAAACAGTTGTAAATACATTGAAAAAAACAACAATACGAGGTCTCTGTGAAAATGAAAAACGTATTCTAGTTATTCAAATAGAGCGAATCTAAATACTAATATGAATAGAATGTTAACTTAGCGCCGTGACCTTAACAAAAGTGAGTTTGTTTGTTAAATTCTCCAATAATTGACCTTGAACTAGGGGGATTTTATCAGGCTTGAGGCATGGGCAGAAACAGCATAATGTAAGTGATGAATCGTTTTGCAGAATTCGATCTAACTAATTTCATTTAATTCAGTGGATTTCCCCATTTCGATTAAATTTTCTAGAAAAACCCAGTCAATCAATCAATCAATCAAGCAGCTGCCCGCATACCCCGCCCTCATAGTCAGAAAACAAAATGGCTCTCCAGAAAGTGACAAATTTTATCTCGCATTGGTACTTGCAGTATATACTCGTTACAGCGTTGTACATGTTGGAGCCATGGGAGAGGATGATTCTAAGTATCCTTTTGTTGTCACGTGGTGGTCTGGTTAATTTTAACTAGAGAGATAACCTCACTGGTGGTTTGTATACATTATCTGCTTGCGTGTTTCAGTACCAGCTTCAACCATTCTAAGAGTCTTGTATATCTATTTGTCCACGCCCGAAGAGATTTTGTACAATATGGTCAATCCAGCGAATTGAACAACAGAAATGTAAATTTTGTCAAAATACAGTGGATTCCCTGTAGTCGGAATGCACAATATAAATTTTTTAGTCCTGATTTTTACATGTACTCCAAAGACAGCGCCCGTTGCAAGTTTTTATTGTTACTGTTGTCGTTTATGAGTCACTGGTGACGGTATTCTGAGTGTGCGTTGCTAGTAAGCTGATTATTGCCTCAAAGGCTGTAAATATCTGTTTACCTCAATCAGTACCGGAGAATAGTCATAGTCCTCCATTGTCCTCCACCAGCACATACAAACATTTGTAATTAAGGCTGGAAGCAATGGGACTTTATTTATCAGTAACTCATACAACAACACTGCAACAATGGACTTGCAGGTAGTTACGACAATAGGACTATTTGTAGTAACATAATGAAAACAAAAATTAAACTAGCAAATACTAATAGATTACTTTAGGTGCATTGGAACACATTGATGTATGTACTTAAATTTGTCAGATGTTTGCATGGTGAGTAATTTCATGAAAAATACTGCATACACACACTAACATTGTAACATAAATTTGTTATGAGGTACGTTCTATCTCTCCATTTTAGATT